GTTCACACATAACCATCCCTATTATCTAACACATTCCCCTTCCCCCCATAGATCCACATTCTAAATTAAACATACAGCGTTTGGCTACTGTCAGTTTTTCTCTCCTAAGGCACCAGCCTCTGCCACATGTCTTATCACAGGAACAACATCCTCCCTATTTCTGATGGGGCCTGATATGAATAAATCCTTCCTCACTTGGCAGTTACTGTTGCAATTAAACAGCCAGCCTCTGTGTCTGCAACCGCTCTGTCTTTGGCTAGCGGCATCAGATGCCTTTTTCTACAATAGCCATAATCTGCTCCTGCCCTTGCTCACACAGAACAAGTTCTATTTCTGGCACTGCTGGAGGATACACAAAACAGCCCTCAGCCTGGCCGTCTGGATCTGTTCCCCAGCAGGGCTTTGCATGCAAAACTCAATAGTATTTCCTTGTTTGCTCTCCTTCGCAGCTCTCAAAAGCGATGTGGTTTTGCCCTTTAACAACACTGAAACCCAGCTCCTTAACCCCCTCTCATCCTGTCTCTTGTTTCTCACTGCTCATGCATGTAGCAGTCTCTGCCCAATGTCTTTGTATGCACAAAGCCAGGGAACAAATCCACAATAATGGACAAAGAATATTTCATTTTCAAGATGTTATGATTGAAATCTAATTACACATCAAAAGTATATTCCCAGCTTCAATTAAAAAGCATGTTAACTCCAGCTTTATACAATCTCTTCTCTGATCATTTTCTGTTGAGCTGAAAGTAGCTTTGTCTGCATCTCAGTACTGCAGTATTAGTAGAACTCTAGGAAATATACACACCCGTAACCAGTAAAATCTTTGGGCTCCCTCTGTATGCACATCTGTGTCAGGAGCAAGGTGGAGAAAACAGAACCCAGAAGAGCCCTGGGAAGTTTAGAGATCTTTAACTCAACCAGAAAAAAGTGATTGTTAAAGACAGTAACTCAATGTGAAAAATCTTAGCTTTTGGAGGTACAGACTGTGCCAGTGCCACTCACTGCTGACCTGATATATCCTCTAACATTCCAGCCTTGCCCCCATCAGGGGATGCAGCTGAGACTTGATCTACAGCGCCCCCTGCCTTTCTAGCTCTGGCCTCCCCAAAACAGATCAGCCAATGCACCCCAAGCCTGACCCACAGATCACTTGCCATTCCAGCAATGGGCCCCCAAGCAGATCAGCTAATGCACTTCAGTCTTGATCCACAACACGCCATTATTTCACTCCAATATAATTTCAGAAGTTCCAAACAAATGTTTATTAACAAAGCAATGATTTTAGCTCAAAGCAGCACAATTAATTTTGTATTTTTAGCTTAAGTTCTGTAAAATTCTTTTTTCTGATCATATAGCTTGTTCATGGAAATAATTGCTGATTTTACATCATGTACAAATAGGTACTCAGTGACATCACTTCCTGTCAACAGCAATAATAAATATCATCTTATGCTTGGTGAACGCCTTGCACTATGAAAAAAACCCAAAGCATGTTGCAAGAATATATACAGGAATTATTTCACTCCTCATGGATATGCACTATGGTGCATTCCACAGCTATTTAGCAATGTACAAGAATAGGATGTGAAAATACTGTTGCCAATTCAAACTGCAGAGAGAATGGAGAATGGCAATATGTATTTACTTAAACTGGTATCTGACCTGAATAGGAGTCAACACTTAATCTCTTGTGAAAAATACTGCAAAATCTATGACGAGCACATGTGATCAGGATCATGGTTTTACGTCTCATCTGATAAGTAACACCTCCAGCAGCACACCACAGCTGGGAAGTGGTTGAGTACTGACTCATAGAAAAAAACACCTCATATCCAACGGATCTATTTTAGGTATTTATAAGTCACCTGTCATGTGGGCATCTAACCACCAAAATTCTGAAGATGTAAAAGGGTCCAGAACCATGGAGTTTCCTTTCACTCTTCAACTGGGTCCCAAGGGGCCAGATTCCCAAGCATGCTAAGGCCACTTTGTACTACAGAGGTGCAGAGTAGTCTTAAAGTGGTCAGAGAAGTCCAGTAGAGAAATCTCCCTGTGCCAGGAATACTCTCTGCTGGTGGAGATCTGCAGAATAAAATCCTCCACCTCATGTGTCAGCTATTCCCCAAACTCTGGCATTAAAGGAAGGAAAGGACACATTCCAGGTGGGGAATGCACCGGAGAGGGAAGAGGTGTGTGTAATGGAGTGATGCTCCATGATGCCCAGTCCTCCACTGGCATAATGTTTCTGACCCACATTGCATGTGGTGTAAGGCAGGGCTCTCTGTGCACACCCCTGGCTTGCTCAGGAGCCAGACAGCTGTGAAGCAGGGAGTTACAAGTTCCTTGCAGCCCTCTCCTCTGCCCCATTCAAATGGAGCTCAAAAGGAGCAGAGACTCAAGCTTAGGAAGAGAAGGAGAGAATTTACATGTTCAAAGATAGAATCATAGAATCTTAGAATCATAGAATAATAGGACTGGAAGGGACCTCGAGAGGTCATCGAGTCCAGCCCCCCGCCCTCAAGGCAGGACCACGCTCCGTCTACACCATCCCTGAGAGATGTCTATCTAACCTGTTCTTAAATATCTCCAGAGAGGGAGATTCCACCACCTCCCTTGGCAATTTATTCCAATATTTGACCACCACATTTCTTTACTTTCCAAGCATTGTTCCTGAGGAAAAGCTCTGCCCAAAATGTGTCTCTCTCTACATTCTGATAAACACAGCTAGCCTTGGTCAGATCTCTCCTACTCATGGCAAGGTTCTACCCCCATCTCCTCATCGGCTACCTAGTCCCTCTGCAGTGTAGTTGCCATAGAAGGTCCCAACCGATGGGTGACAGGATCACAGACACAGCCATGTCCCATTCTGTTCAGGGCTCCATACACAAGGACTAGGGCTTTGACTTCAGCTCTGGAGCAACTGGAACATGTGAAGAACCAATAGGATGTCTTCTCCCAACACTTGATGCTGAGGCTCACTGCTATGAGTGACACCCACTTCAGTCTTCATGTAGTGCAGGGGTGGGGAACCTTTTTCGGGTCAGAGGCCACTGACCCGCAGAAAAATCAGTCAGGGGCTGCACACAAGTGAGAAGCAGGGGAAAAAACCCTCACTGTGGCCCCCCGACTGCGGAGAAAGACACAGCAGAGCCTCGTGGGGGGGAGCTAGTAGATTTTGTGCAGGGAAGGTCCTGAGCCTCGGGGGCTGGATCCCTGCAAGCTGAGGGCCGCATCCAGTCCCCGGGCCAGAGGTTCCCCACCCCTGACGTAGTGGATGTGTTTAGCACAGGTAGTTCTCTTGGTGAGATTCCTTTTCTTAGAGAGCTCCCGGTCAGGTTTTGCCTCCACTCAGCTTTGCTAAGCTAGTGAGACCTAGCATGTCCCCAGCCAAAGCTGCTGAGAGAGTGTGCGCCTCGGCTGCGTCTACACTGGCATGATTTTGCGCAAATACTTTTAACTGAAAATTTTTTCCATTAAAAGTATTTGCGCAAGAGAGTGTCTACACTGGCATGTGCTTTTGCACAAAAGCATCCGTGCCCGTGTAGACGCTCTCTTGCACAAGAAAGCTCTGATGGCCATTTTAGCCATCGGGCTTTCTTGCGCAAGAAATTAATGTTGCTGTCTACACTGGCCTCTTGCGCAAGAATACTTGCACAAGAGGGCTTATCCCTGAGCGGGAGTGTCAGAGTATTTGCGCAAGAACCACTGATTTTGTACATTACAACGTCAGCGTTCTTGCGCAAATACTCGCGGCCAGTGTAGACGCAGCCCTCAAGATCCAAGTTCCACTTTAAATGGCAAAACCTGTTGCTGTGTACACAGAGATGAACTCTGACTTTAACATTCTAGCAAGATACAGGGGACTTTTCAGAAATCAATTAAACTTGATTGAACATGAAGGTCCAAGAAAGATGGAGGATGGCAGAATAAACTATAATGCTAAAGGCAGTTAAAGGTGATGGATGGCAGCACAATGGCAGGAGGAACAGCTGCAGCATCCGCTTCACAGACTCTGGGTCTGAATCACAAAATAACGCATTCCTGAAACAGCCTACTGCTGAATCTCCCACTTCTCCTAAGGTCTGGGTGCAGAGCATCAAGTTTGCTTGATTTGGAAGTCTGAGCTCCTTTCTCTTTCATAGATAAATTATATCAGGTTGTACAATATCTGTTTCTCTTGCACTGGTTGCTGTGTCTCCTTCCCTCAAGGATGGCTCCTTGGTCATTTATTGGAGCAAGTTCCCCCCTCTTCAGCCATTGGTCTCAGGTGAGGATTTCACTACAGCGCTGACAGCTGCATCGCTGTAGCACTGCTAGGGCAGACACTTATGCCGTGGGAAGAGAGCTCTCTTGTCAACTTAATGACTCCCACCCCCACAAGAGACGGTAGCTAGGCTGGCAGAAGCTCTCCTGCTGACGTAGCGCTGTTTACACCAGCGTGTAGATCAGCGTAATTTATGTCGCTTGGGGGTGTGGCTTATGCAAACCCCATAGCAACATAATTACAACGTAAACTGTATTGTAGCAATTACCTCAGTCTCATTCATAGAAACCTAGATTCTGAGGCCTAAAGGAACCATTGTGATTCATCCTCTCAATCTGCCAGCAAACCCCCTGGTTTGGGGTTTCCTGCTCCTATTCTCTCTGCTCTCACTGGGGGAGGCCACAGAGCCAGGATTACAGCTCAGAAGCTCCCACTCCTAGCCCTATGCTCACACCACCTTGCCATGCTGTCTCATGGATGAGACCAATCTTACAGCTGCGAGGCACGGCAAGAGCACCATTCACAGTCTACACGATCAAGAGAGTCAATGACATGTCATGTGCTGATAGATGGGGTTTCATATTCCAGCTCATCTGGGAAATCTCACCATATGAAATTTTCCTTATTCCTAAAACTAGCCAGACACTGGGCTTTGAGGGAAAGGTCTGGGGTGGGCAGGAAACAGACTCTCCCAGGCTGCGAGGGGACACACCTCTGCAGTGGGCATTTCTGTTACCTGGAGGAGCAGGACTCTGAGGGAACGCTCTGTTGCCCCTCATACTGCTGCACCAGTGCTCGGACACTCCAGTAGGGATTCTCAATCTCTTCATCTACGCTGCTGTTCCTGAAGATAAAAATCACATAGTGAGTAACAGCCTGACAGAGCAGGGGCAGAAATCCACAATTTTAAAAATTTATTGTCCATTCTTGGGGGAAGGAAGGAAAGGGGAGAACAGGGGCTGATGAAAAAAAGGGAAGGAGGAAACAGCAGCAATCCTACATGCCTCTTCTGAAAGTGTGAGCCCATAACCCTTTTCCCATCTACCCGTGATATGGCAGGGTAGGGGAACAGTGTCACCTGTTATATGTCTCCAAGCTCCTGTAAGTAGCAGCAGAGCTTTGGAGAGGGAGGCAAGGAGGGGGTGGGGAAAAGGCAAGCTTCTGCTATACACCGAGGGCTGGCCATCCTAAAGAGGAACACTTGCACATGTGCCTTTGGAAGAAGAGATTTCTCATTTCATTTTTCAATAATCCATATCATTTCCAACCTCATTTCAAAATTGAGTCATGGCAAGAAAAGGCTCCCCAGAGCCAGCACAGTGTGGAAAAATGTCCCTTAGCGGTTTGAATGAAACCCCCAATAAACAACCATCCGGTTGTAGATCTAATGTCATTACTACTATTATTATCATAATCAACGTAGCACCTTTTGCAAGTCTCAAAAGCACTTAACAGAATTGGAGACCCCACCCATCCATGGATCACTTTGCTTCATTATCACTAAATTAGTAGCTGATAAACAGCATTCAGCAGTACCCCAACAATTTCTACTTCTTGACATAAGGTGAGAAGGCAACAGGAATTTAGGGAGATATAATGGAATTGGCTACCAGGGCTAGCACACCGAGACTCTTATAAACAATGCTCCCAAGGTGTTTGGCTCTCTTTTCCTTTAAAGTGAAATAATAAATGTGTGTTAAGTACAATCCTAGGAAAGACAGAGCACTGTCCCGCTTATGGCCAGGTGAGGTCAGCACTATACTACTGTCTGTGCCTGGCCTCACCTGGTTTACCCTGTGGTAAAACTACAGTGCTTTGCCTTCCCTGTTTTACAGTAGGATAGCTTAGGCATGTTAGTTATCCTATGGTAAAAACACATCTTTTATGTCAGTGAAGACACTGCCTTAGCCTTAGCACATCCCATTTAAGTGCTAACTCAGTCCTACTATAGATTATGTAGCACTTTAAAGACTAACAAGATGGTTTATTAGATGATGAGCTTTCGTGGGCCAGACCCACTTCCTCAGATCAAATAGTGGAAGAAAATAGTCACAACCATATATACCAATTTGTGTATATATAAACAGTTGTGACTATTTTCTTCCACTATTTGATCTGAGGAAGTGGGTCTGGCCCACGAAAGCTCATCATCTAATAAACCATCTTGTTAGTCTTTAAAGTGCTACATTGTCCTGCATTTTGCTTCAGCTACCCCAGACTAACACGGCTACATTTCTATCACTATTCTACTATAGATTGTCTCAGAGGGGTAGCCGTGTTAGTCCGTGACTGTAAAAACAATGAATAGTCCTGTGGCACATTAGAAACTAACAAATATATTAAATCATGAGCTTTTGAGCGTAAAACACACTTCATCAGACGAGTTGGAGTGGAAACAACAGACTCCTATATAACAGCAAAAGCAGCTACCTGCCAATTGTAGGACCCATATTAATAAAGCTAATTAAATAGGTTGGATGTGTCCCATTCATAGCTTTTGATGTGAAAATGTGAATTTCAAAGGCAGGGGACATTGGCTTTGTAGTGTGTTAACCAGTTAATATCTTTATTCCAACCCAGGTTGACAGTGTCAAATTTGTAAATGAATTCCAGTTCAGCAGTCTCACTTTGTAATTGGGTGGTACTGTAGATTGTTTGTGAGCTCTGATAAGATTACACAAGAGGTGGTCTGGGTTCAAGTCAACAATTAATGTGTGAATTCATCTTTCCTGCCCCAAGGACTAAGACTTAGCACCAAGATTCCCATGAGATCATATGGGAGCAATCAGTACCTCTGTCTGTGCCGGAAAACATCACGTCCTGAGCGTGACACATCCTGACGAACATCTGCCAGAGCAGCCACGACCCCCTGAACCACGGCAGCTGCTGAATGAGGCCTGTGACTGGCTGATGATGCTGAAAGGCTCTTCCCCACCGTGCTGGATGGGCTCTGAATGGCTGTTCTACTGGAGCCAGGTTTAAAATGAGCAGCTAAGGCAAGGATCAGCCTCATGATGGATTTCAGGTTCCCATCAACGATATCTGCAAAATGCAATCAAACCCCAGGGCAATGGGGCACAATGGGTTTTTGTCTGACCAATAAGAGTGAATGCAATTAAACTAAATATGAGAATTCCAACAGAAAAGGGACTGAAAATTAGGACTGAGTTATCATTCCAGGGCTCCGTAGTATTTGTTTTGGATGATGCAGCTGAACTAAAATCAGCGACTGCCACCTATAGGGCAGAATTTTAACTGCTCTGGACGCTGTTGGGACTTCTGCATGGGATTATTTTCAACAAATAGCTCAGTCTATGTGTGATAGTACTGCTGAAAGATCAATACAAAGGTGTTATAGTCACTGAAGATGACTCCTGCACCTGTGATGACTCCAACTGGCCCATGGAACCTGCACTAACACTTTTAATAGGAAAGAGGAGGGAGCTGAGCAAGAATGGACTTCTGCAAAACCACCATTAACTAATCATTCCTCATCATGATGCACTTTCCTTCTGTATGCAAAACAGCCCAAATTTTATGACCTTCAGGGCTCACTCCAAAGACCATTCATGGGGAGAAGGGGAGGGTTTTTTTTTTAAAGCCACCCAAGGGATTTGGACACACTGAGGCCATTAAGTTTAATGGGAACTAGCCATCCAAATCCCATAAGCAGATTTTTAGGGAAGGACTGGATGCCTGGAGTCTGGTTAATTTTTACTTTGGAGAGTGGGATGGGGCAGAAATAGATCATAAAGATAATTAACCACAGTCATTCACAGAGACTCTGAGCCAATCTGAGACAGAGGAAGAAATGACTCGCTTAAAGTCACAGAGTGAGTCAGTGTGGAAGCTATGATTAGAATTCAGGGGTTTCTGTGTCCCAGAGTTCTGTGCCTACACCTCACTCTGTGCAGTAGCTTTGATACGTTAATCCTGCCTCAATTAGGGGATGGACTAAATGACCTCTTGAGGTCCCTTCCAGAACTATACTTCTATGATCACATGTCCATCTTCAGAGCCCTTACACAATGTCCATCCTCAGAGGCCAGACTTACACAATTACACAGGAGACTAGAACAGGCCAAATACAGGGGCTGTGTCTACATTGGCACCCTTTTCCGGAAAAGGGATGCTAATGAGACACTTCGGAATTGCAAATGCCGCGGGGGATTTAAATATCTCCCACGGCATTTGCATGAACATGGCTGCCGCTTTTTTCCGGCTCGGGGCTTTGCTGGAGAAAAGCGCCAGTCTAGACGGGATCTTTCAGAAAATAAAGCCTTTTCCGGCAGATCCCTTATTCCTCTTAAAATCAGGAATAAGAGATCTTCCGGAAAAGGCTTTATTTTCCGAAAGATCCCGTCTAGACTGGCGCTTTTCTCCGGCAAAGCCCCGAGCTGGAAAAAAGTGGCAGCCATGTTCATGCAAATGCCGCGGGGGATATTTAAATCCCCCGCGGCATTTGCAATTCCGACTTGTCTCATTAGCATCCCTTTTCCGGAAAAGGGTGCCAATGTAGACACAGCCAGGATGTTGACAGTTTTCCTAGGAAAACCAGAAGAGGTACAGAACCCCACCCCTAGGTTTCAATCTTGCAAGAGTTAGTCAATTATTTTTTGTCAGGGTCCTGATTCCAGAGAAACATTTTTCAGATCGCAATAAAGGTAAGAATAAGAAAATTAAAAAAAACTGCAGTCTGTTCAAAAGCATCTGGCACTCCAGATTTGGCACCCAGTTTGCCAGTTCCTATTCCTGCAAATTTAGAGCTTACTCAGCTCTCATTTATGCCCTACCAAACTCTAGATGCTCATGCTTTACTCTCATGCTACCAGCCTGGATACATGAAAGCAAATTCAGATCACTGAGTTAAGCAGCCTAGAGAGTGCTGCCTGGTTGGGCCTATTGATATATTTGTTTACAGTACTTATGGACAAGGTTTTATAAGTATTAACAGTTTATAGAGCCAGTGAAATGGTGCGAACTGGCATATATAATGCTTCACTGAATGGGAAAAAATAGCACAGCGTCCAGGCCGCTGGCATGGAGCATTGTGTACTCTGAATACATAAAGGCTACCCAATTTAGACTACCCAACCCCCAGGGCTGTGCTCTTCTCCTCCTGATAGCAACAGGAAGGTCATGTGGTCCCTGACTCTGATTAGAGTCACTGGGCCCACTCCACCTCACCCAGTGCCCTAGGGGGAGCAAACAGTGCACTCAGCCACCAGCAAGAATCGGGAACTGTTTCTCTCCATCCACGTGCTGTTTGTGACTAAACGATGCCACACTAAGAGACAGAAAGCACATGGTTTTGCTCCTTGGGTCTCCTTCCCACCACATGTTCTGTTCCTCTTATGAGGAGAAATGTTGGAAAACAGTGTTTGCAAAGTATGGGAAACCATATCATTGATTTGCAATGGCTTGGAATGATCCTGTTTCCACCAGAGAAGGAGGCACAGCCCAATAACAATTTGTACATGTCTGTTCAATTAAGGTTTCCAGGTCTGTATTCTCAATTATACCATTTGTTTGATCCTTTGATCGCTTAGGCTACTTCTAGACTGTAGGAATTTGTCAGCAGAGGCAATGCAAATGAAGCATTCATTAGCATTTCTCATACTGTCATTTGCATAGTCTTTTTGCATAACCTTTTGATTTAGTTGGAATTGGTCCAGGGGGCTGGACTTGATGACATTCTGAGGTCTCTTCCAGTTCTATGATTCTATGATAAAAAAAAAGGCAGTGTAGACCGGGACATTTTGCACCAAAAAACCCTTTTGCGCAAGATCCCTTATGCCTCAAAAAAGGAGCCCTTCATTTGCATTGCCTCTGCCGACAAATTCTTGCAGTCTAGACATAGCCTCAAAGGAGAGGGGCATTTCTTCTTCTTACTACTATTATTTATGTCCTGCCTTGGGCTGCTCCTGTTACCAAAGCAACCACAAATTTAGTGCCAAAACCAAAAACTAAAGACGTTTCTGGATTGTAGCAACAAGAGAAACTGGCCTGGAAATAAATACTCTGTAGCACACAAAACAGCAAAGGATCCAGTTCCCATACAGAGTTGAGGATCATGGTGACGCAATCATCAGGGAGCACTTACCTTTCGCTGAAGTTTGGTGCATACGGATCTTTTTCGATGCCACAAACTGCAGGACTTTCTCAACATTTTCTCTCATTTCCTGCTGGCTGGAGGGACTAATTTGAATGCCATTCAGCTTCTCACCAGCTGGGAAAATTAAACAGCTTGATTATAGGGAGGAATCAACCTGCTTGGTGCTGACTGGCACTGTAACAGTTACAGGTGCAAGGAATGTAGGATTCAGCAACTGTTATGTTGGGGAGAGTAAGGAGCCATATGTGTGACTTCTCCTTGCTTATGAGGTGTCTAATGGCAAAATACACTCGTAGCACTGTCTGTGAAGGTGTTTTTTGTGGATGATTCATTATTCCTTGTATCTTCTTGAGTCAGCACACGTCCCCTCTGTGCAGACACACTATACCGCACAGCATAGTCTCTGAGAGGGACAGCATTGTGTTCTAGAACCATTTCCGCTCAGGCCTATTATTTCTTTCTTGTAAATATTTGTGTCTTAGAGATTAGCTCTGACCCCCCAGGAATCCCAGCCATGCAAGTAAACTCCAGGCAGGACTGTTAGCATTAGATAGAGATACAATGGGGTTTGGGTCCCACATTAGCCCCATGTTATCCCATACACCCATCTGGAACCCTGATGCTATTCATTGATATGGAAATTCCTTGATGGCTCCCTTAAAACAGCTCAGCCCCTGTTATGGCAGTCATCATGGCCAGGGTAGCAGGTTTTGGCATGTGACAAGTGACAACGCAAATGCAGTTCTCAAAGGGCCTGGAACTTGGCACTAGTAAAGGTTAGCAAGTGACACTGAGCTAACACATAAGGATTTCAGTGGAAGGTTGGTTTTTTATGATCCATAGTTTCCCTCTTAAAATGACCACCCTGCTCTGACTCTGCAAGGCCTGCTGGCCAGCCTCACACAGGTCCAAACATTCCACTAGCAGGGCCTTACCAAAGCGAGCTTCCTTCACCCCAACGCCCCACAGTCTGTGCAGCAGCCATAGTGCCAGTTGGTGTTACTGACCTACAATTTCAATGAGAGTGGCCAGGACGACCCCATCTCGAAGATCTTGCCTCAGATCCTGCACTGGCCTTATTGCTGGCTTCTTCTTCAGCTGGGAATTCACCCAGACCACATACGCCTGCAGTTGCTGCTGTAAACAGAAAAGAAAACAATTTACAGGTCCCTCTTGTTCTAGGAAGCAGTTGCCCAACTCTCAACTTTCACTCACCCGAATGTTCACTTAGATCATCCCTCCACCTACAAGACATTGGTTCACAAAACAAAGCCAACATTCTTTTGGGGTAACTTGGTACAGCCCAGAACTGGAACAGCAGGAAAGACTGGAGGTGGGAATTGAGAGGCATCAGCGCAGCTTAGACGGCAGCTTGCACTGCATCTGCCTGCAGTATATTTGGTTCAAAACAACCCCTGCCAGTCCCACACAAACACTGCCAGACATGGCTTTTATTCCCAGCATTAATTCACTCATAAAATGTTAAAAAACAAACATTACTTACTTTTAGATATTTAAAAATAAAGAAATATGTCTTAGTTGACAGTTAAAATAACCAATGTAACATTAAGTTAATTATACTAATTGTTAAGGAAATGACTGCTTTTGATAACGGGCCAATTTCACTTCGGTATAAGGTCCTGAACACTTTAGTTCCAACATTCCACAGCCTTGCACCTTGTGTCATAATTTACATCCTTGCAAAAAGAGCACAACGCATGTGAAGAACACTGCCACTCTAACTGAGTAGTCTTTCACTGTCTTCGCACCGGTGTAACTGACAACAGGAAAAACTTAAAAAACAACAAATAGTCTAGTACAGTGGTCCCCAACCTTTAGAGGCTGCCGGGCGCCAGGGGGCGTGGTCGTTCGCCTGCAGGACGCCAGAGGGCGGGGACACATGCACACTCGGGGGCGGGCAGTCCCCCCCATAGCCACGTGCTCGGGGGCGGGGGCCCCCCGCAAGCGCCGCGCTCCCAGGGCCAGGCCCCCCCTGCAAGCGCTGTGCGCCAGGGGCCAGCGCCCCCTCCAAATGCCGCGTGCCCGGGGCCAGACCAGCCCCGAGCACTTGGCGGGCGCACACAAATGGCCCCGCGGGCGCCATGGGGCCCGCGGGCACCGCGTTGGGGACCACTGCTGCGGATGTTCAGGTTTGATCTGGAGAGTGTTAGTCTGGTGCAGCTGAAACAAAAAACAGGACTGTGTAGCACTTTAAAGACTAACAAGATGGTTTAATAGGTGATGAGCTTTCGTGGGCCAGACCCACTTCCTCAGATCAAATAGGGGAAGAAATGATTAAACCATCTTGTTAGTCTTTAAAGTGCAAAACATGTAGATGGTATCATGAGCTTTCTTGGGCACAACCCACTTCTTCAGATGACCAGAGTGTTGGAAGTCCAGATCCAAGAATAAATAAAGGAACGGGGCGGGGGGAGAGAGAAGGAAAAAAATGGAGGGGAGGGGAAAAAAGAGACAGTGAGTAGATAAGCCGAGTTAGTCTGTAACAGGAAAGACTAAAAAAACAACAAATAGTCTAGTAGCATCGTGTTGGTCATCTTCCTTTCCAACTGCAAACTACTGGTTCTTATCAGCCTCTTGTAATTATTTAGTCTTTAAGATTCTACTAGACTATTTGTTGTTTTTTTAGTCTTTCCTGTTACAGACTAACTCGGCTTATCTACTCACTGTCTCTTTTTTCCCCTCCCCTCCATTTTTTTCCTTCTCTCTCCCCCCGCCCCGTTCCTTTATTTATTCTTGGATCTGGACTTCCAACACTCTGGTCATCTGAAGAAGTGGGTTGTGCCCAAGAAAGCTCATGATACCATCTACATGTTTTGCACTTTAAAGACTAACAAGATGGTTTAATCATTTCTTCCACTATTTGATCTGAGGAAGTGGGTCTGGCCCACGAAAGCTCATCACCTATTAAACCATCTTGTTAGTCTTTAAAGTGCTACACAGTCCTGTTTTTTGTTTCAGCTGCACCAGACTAACACAGCTACATTTCTACCACTAATCTACATGTTTTGTTAGTGTTTAAGGTGCTACTAGACTATTTTAGGGTTGCCAGGTGTCTGGTTTTGAATCAGACAATCCAGTATTTGAGCTTTCTGTTCAGGAAAGAAATTGAGAAAATATAAATGAGAAAATAGAAATGTCTGGTATTTTCTAAATAAGATGGAATGTAGATTGTGATGTAATGTCAAGTGTGTCCGGTATTTTTGTTGAAACCATCTGGCAACCCTAGACTATTTGTTGTTTTTTAAGTTTTTCCTGACAGCAGGAGGTGACAGATAATGGAGAACCAGATTTTTGATCCCACTAAGGAGCCATCCCAGTGTCAGGGGCTGACTTGCAAAAGCAGCCTCTAGTCTAGTGCAAGTGTAAGGGGTTCCGGTTCACCTTTTTATTCCTAAAACTCATATGACACTTTAGTGGCTAGTAGAAGCCCTGGTGAATCTGGAATTCCTTTTGGACAAGGGCTTGTGCAGCACACGGAGTGTAATCAGGTTTATCCCTTTATGGGATTACCTCTCTTTTCACTAAGCTTCCAATTATTCTGCAGCTATGGTGGGCTTTAAGTCTCCATTCCACATTATCTCAGCAATATCAGCCACCATTTATGCTTCTACAGCTTGCCACAACATCACATTCTGATTCCATCACTTGTAATCATCCTGACAAGAGAAATCCAACTTGAAACACAATGCAGCTCAGTCTGCGCAGAAAGGTGCCCAGACACTTGTGCTCAATGGGTTCTGCTCACTCAGCAGATAAGGGTGAAGCATGGTGCGAGAGGCACACTTGGGCAGTTGCTCAATTGGTTTTAAAAACAAAAGCGGGAGTGCTGATTGGGAAGACTAGACTGTGGGAGGCACATGTTTGGAGACTAATGCAGGCTTGCTGGAGTGGATTTTGCCTCCCGCGCTTTGAGTCCAGTACAATCAGTGCTCTAACTCATTTGTGTAAATAAAGGTGCCAGTAGGTGTCAATTTTGCCTGCCCAGTTGAAAATGTCACCAGCCTCCCACAATGGGAACACAAACTATAGAACATATAAATACAACAAGCATAGTCCTGGTTTCTCTCCCATTCATGCAATACACACAAGAGGATGATCCAGCATTGGTTTTCAGATCAATAGTAATAACTGCCCCTGCTAAAGTGCAAAAAGAAGTTGAGTTCCTATGTGACCTGAGTTAAATAGAAGCACCCGAGCCCAAGAAGGAAGGGGCATGGGACTTTACACCAGGATTCAACCACTCTACACAATAACTCCATGGACACACCAGAACTCAAACCTTCTATTACGCAAAGATTCAGTTAAGCTTTAATTTATTCTAGTAATTATCAGTGGAAGAGAAAGATGTTTATTTACAGAGCCATCTGTTACCCTCTGAAATAGCTACAGCACCCTTATGGAAAAGTCCTGTATAATTTAGTAAATTTCCATAGAAATTCTGAAACTATTTCAAAATCCTATAAAATGTAGCCGTGTTAGTCTGGGGTAGCTGAAGCAAAATGCAGGACAATGTAGCACTTTAAAGACTAACAAGATGGTTTATTAGATGATGAGCTTTCATGGGCCAGACCCACTTCCTCAGATCAAATAGTGGAAGAAAATTGTCACAACCATATATACCAAAGGATACAATTTTAAAAATATGAACACATATGAAAAGGACAAATCAAATTTCAGAACAGAAGGGGGTTGGGGGGGAGGTAAATGTCTGTGAGCTAATGATATTAGATGTGATAATTGGGGAAGCTATCTTTGTAATGGGTACAATAATTAATGTCTGTGTTTAAACTTAGGCGTAAAGTGTCGAATTTAAGTATGAATGACACTATAAAATGTAAGAAATTGATCTCCTTTTTTGCAAGTATTTTATTAACCATCCTTTAAGACTACAGTAGGGATATAATTCTCTACTGAATTCTATAGAATGGTCCAAAATACATTTGGAAAGGTTGTCACATTTTATTAGATTCTCTACGTCTTTTCCTTATAAGCAATTAATTTTCCACACAAAGGAAATAAATTATATAAAAATAGTCTTATAATTAACAATGTCTTTATTTTCTCCTATTCTTTACACAAAATAAAAATAACTATTTTGAGGTAAGCATATTTCACTGGTATTAACCTTTATTATTTCAGAAAAGTATGCAGTGATTAGTATCATTATTAGGAAATCACTTCTAAAGCCTTGTAAATTTACACTTTAAATGATCTTCTCCAAAAAGACAACTTTTTGTAGTCGTGCAATAGTGATGTCGCTATTACAAAGGAAAGGATGTCACAGCAGTTGCTACTACAATATTGCAGACTTTGATTTAACTTGCAGGTTTACTATTTTTTCCCCATTCAGAGCGTAAGCTTTTCCGAGGGACTGTTCAAACTGTGTCCAGAAAACTCTACCAGCTAATTACTTTAGCGCAGGACTCCAGAGATACTCTGATTTCTGCAAAGCTAAAATCCCAAGTGGCAGCCTGTCATTTCTGGCAGCTAAAATGAAGAGGTGACTGAATTTCTCAAGGAAAAAAATAGACATGAAAGTTTAATGACCTAAAAATTGCAGAGTGGTGTTAAATGTACTAAGGGACAAAACCACAAGCCCTTTATTCCAGAGAACTCCACATGTCCATACGCCAGTAATTTAAAAAAGGAGAGCAAATTTTGGGAGGATTATATTGCAAATGGAAACAAACATCTCTACACAGCAGATTTCATCCTTTAGGACAAAAGAAACACTTCCTGTACCCTGTCTCTCAGTGAGATTATATCACACTTCTTTCTCTGACTTCATTCAATTAACAAACATGCAGACAAGGGGGATCCAGTAGATATAGTATACTTGGATTTTCAGAAAGCCTTTGACAAGGTCCCTCACCAAAGGCTCTTGTGTAAATTACATGGCCATGGGATAAGAGGGAAGGTCCTTTCTTGGATCGAGAACTTCTTCTTTCTGATTATTTATATAACTCAACCTCTCTGGGATTTCTTAATGTAACTACTCATGCTTCCTTGTTCCCTTAGCTGTCCTCATTTTCCCCTACTATTTTGGGTCTGCATGGAAATTCCTGCAAATCACAAGGGCAAAAGACACTTAAAAGTTTCATCTTGGGAGAATTAGC